AGGATGTGTCTGGAGAGAGGGAAGTCTGGGCATCTTTGCTTAGACTGCTGCCCCCGCGACCCGGTCCCGGATAAGCGGAGGAAAATGGATGGAAGTTTTGACTGGTATCTGTAAAGACTGACTGGGCTCCTGGTGTCAACGTGAGCTTTATGGCTTCACTTTCCACCGCCCTCTGTAGCGAGACATGGATATCAACAAAGTTAATAAACCCATCTTTGTGGCTGGTTGCTTTCTGATGAGCCTACATGAAAACTGTTTCTGCTGTCAGCCTGGTGAAGACCGTTTGTCCAGCCACTGTCCTGCTGACAGGCAGAAGCTGTTTTGGTGACAGTGAACGGATCGAACGCTTGAGTAGCTCACATCTCATTTTTACTGTGAGTTCCCCATCAGAGTACTAGCTCAACTGTCTGCCGTTTGTTGTCCAGTTTGAAGAGAACAGCACTGCGGGCTGAGTGTCACAATAAAGGTTCAGCTAACATCAACGTTTACCCGTTGCATCAATGACATCAGATTGCTGGGTGTTTGACCAATGCATCGTTACACTGCTATCATCAGCAGCAGGCAACAGAGTGATTTACACCTGTTCTGTTCTGTGTCCCACCTTCCAGGATGTTCCAGTCCCGATTCCCAGTTCCAGCTCTTCAGAGTGCAGCTCACAGTAGAATCTCCCTGAAGGACCAGCACAGATGAAAACCATAAGAGGTGAAAGGTCAGAGACATGAATGTTCACATGAAGAAAACTGCTGCTGTTTTCTTATTAATCTCCTTTCAGTGTGAAAGGAAACCCCTTGAAAAAGACATTAAGTGCTTCACGTCATCTTGGCTCTGAGATTACACATTATACCACAGGTGCATTAGCTGCTGAAACCACAAATATAAATGCTTTAGACTCAACAGTACAGCATTAAGTGCATCAATCGAAGGACGGATAGCTTAGAAAATGGGGCTGCTAAAAAGGAAAACAGAAGACCAGGGGAAAAACTGACAGACAATTACAGCACCATCTCGAATGGGCGACTGCATCCCTTTAGGTACTGATTACATATGAGACAGTATTCACCTGTAGTCTGGTCGAAGGTGTATCCTCCCAGTCTGAGTGTGATGCCACACCGATGGCACGCGAAGCAGCTCCGATGGAAGAACTTGCCCTCAGCGCTGATGCGCTCCAGCACATAGACTCTCTGACCACAGAAATAACACTCCTCACTGTTTGTCATGGACACACAAGTACTAGCTTCCGGTTCAGGCTCAAGAGCAGGAACAGGATCAGGTGTCTGATTGCACTCAGGAGACACAGGAGGCACCACCGTCTGAGGAGCACGTCAGAAGGCAGAGTTAGGATCAACAACATAACACTGGCAGTTGATGTTGTTTGAATTTGTACTGGTGACTCATGAAGAGCTGGTGCAGAAGCTCCTGAAGTTGAATCTGATGCACTGAAACCAACTCACCCTGTCCTCATCTCCCATCCTTGCCTCTTTTACTCGCTTCTCAGCTGCCAGCTGTTCCTGCACAGAGAATAAGAGCAACTGTAACTATTATATAACCCAATCATGTTGATAATGTGGAGAACAGTCACAGCCCTGATTAGATGGTTTTACTGACAAACCAGAAACAGCTTCCCTTGTAATAACATCTAATGTTGTGCCCCTAAACAGCAAAATAACAAGACAAATCAGGCATGTGACTCACAGACTGGATGCCCAGATGTGAACCCAAGCCAACAAGCTGGTGTGTTTGAAAATATCCATCAAATATTTCTTTGTGCTGTGTAAAGAGGACTCCAGCCACAGTAGGCATACCTTACGTCTCTGCAGAGAGTTGTGCTTCAGCTTGTTCAGGAAAAACACAGCTGACTGTGCCTGGGAGAGAGTCAGAGTCTTGGACAATGGCACGAAGCCTACAGGATCTGTAGCCAATAGAAAATGAGACACGCCAAATTCAGATGATCTTAACATTACATTAGACAGAAAACCTAAAGGCACTTCAGCATTACTGTTGGCCTACTTGCAGCTTTGCAAACAGCTACTTAAAATATTCAGACTGTGTCTTTTAATATCTCCCGGGTATGCCCTTTGACTGCATGTTGGACACTGTCAGAAGTAAAATCCCTCTTACTTGTATTTTCTGTAGTGTCACAACAGAAGCCGAATTTAACGCGTCTATCCTCAGAAAAACTCTTGGGCTCCAGTTCTGACTATCACCGTCACCCTGCCATCGTTCGGATAAGGTTACCAGAGAATGACAGCTCCCTCCTACCTGCACATCAGTCAGCAGATCCCAAGCAGAGCAGCACGGCATCACAGGCACAGAGAGCACATCACACCCAGTTCAGCTTAATCAGTGCCTCCAAATGCCAGCTCACATTCACACTACACAAACTCCTCATACTACAAAGACTGTAAATATACCTCTGCTACAAACAGCTGGGACAAACTCCTCCTCCAGTGCAGGGGGGAAAAGAAAGCTCCCCTTCTAGAGACGCTGGTCCCATCAGACCCTGACGAGTGACGTGCGCTCTGTCTGCTGCTGGACTGGCTCAGTGCAGGAGAGCTGCACAACCAGTAGAGACTGGCTCCAGGACAGCACCAGCCACTTAGGCCCAGTGAATTCTGGGTAGCATGCTCTTAAAGAGACAGTACTGATTTAATCATTTCAATACCCAGCACACTCCAGCTGGAGGACACCTGACCCTTTTAATGTGATGCTAATGGTGTGTAGTGTCTAACCACAAGTTACATAAGATTTATGCTGCAGCTGCTAATAGCTATCTTCTGAAATATGTCACAGCCTAAACGGCATTAAAACGGCATAATTACATAATAATAAAAATATTAACAATGGAATATGGCAAAGAGATTCTTTTTACCCATGCTAACAGTACTGACCCACACCTTTATCCTTTGCTGGCCCAGTGAAAGCATCTTGGACCTGGGTGAGGTACAGGACCATGGACAACTTGTCTATTTGGCCGCTGTTGGCCAGGTCACTGGGAGACATGACAGGTGGGATGCCCAGCTCCTTCTCCAGGATGCTGAAGGCCAGCTGGTTGTTGTGAACAGCACTGGACACATCCAGGGAAGTCAGGTCACTGTGGAGGAGTTGGAGAGCAGGATCACTCTGCAGTGTTATCTACCAAGATCATTTTTACTGCAAAGACAGTCGGTTACATTTGCTTTTGCCTGCTGTTTGGTTAGCCGTGGTGAGATTAAGTAAAATGCAAATAACTTTTTTAAAGAACTGTCAGCATTAATTCACCACCTAAATCTAGAGCATGTTACAGTGTCTCACTACTGCAGCAACTTACATGAGCTGAGGCCTGAAGTGGTGGATGAGCGCACACAGAGCCAGCCCGGACCTCCACGACTGGGTCAGATCTTTTACATTTACCTTCTCATAACCTGCGGTGTGTTTCTGGCACCATTTCAACAGCCCTTCATAACCACTGACTGAATCTGAGAGGACAAACACAAACTCCTTATCAGACAATGCTCTGCAACCGTGTTTTCTAATCTCTATTCTATTGTATCTCCCTGATATGTAAATACAGTGTGAGGGAACGGTTTTAAGGTGGGTCACTGTGTGTTGGCCACAAAGTGCTTCAATTTAAAGTCAAAGAATAACCAGAATAACCGCCATAAAGGTCTGACTGCCTGCACATGGAAGACCAACTGACCATGACGCAGGGGAGACGACTTGTCCTTCTGTTTCTTGCTTGATAGATGAGATTTATCAACATCATATAGGTGCTGCACCTAAATTAAAAGACAGGTAGATTTGTCCACACATTCAGAGATCACCAAACAGAGTATTTAAATTAACCCTTTCCCAGCTAACAGATTTCATCAGAGGAACACATTTTGTAAGTCATACAGTATAAAGATATCATTTAATGCATTCAGTGCATTTTCTGTTATTCACTGTGATTCAGTAAAGCCCAATAAATTGTTGTTTGGAATGTAATGAACATCTATAGCATTGCTTTGCTTTTGTGGCACCATGTCTTGATGACTGTAATCCACATCTCTGAGTAAGCTTTGTGTTTATTATGGTGATTCTGATTCAGATCTCTGTTGAGGAAATAAAGGATAACAGTCCTGACCTGGTTGGTGCGCACAGATGAGAGGTTGACCCTCTGGTACCGTGTTCTGGGGTCAATACTGTAGCCAGAGTAGTTTTTGCTGGTGTTCTCTGGTGTGGTCTGGGACAGGAGCTGGTACATACTTTCTCTGTACATTTGTGAAGAGTAAGAAACAGTGTGACTTCAAGATGAGCAAAACAGAGAAGGAAGCTGAACAACAAAACTGAAAAAGGAAGCTGACAGTAACAATTGTGTTGAGACACATTTTTACTCCTGCTAGATGAACAGAAACAGAACTCTTCAAAATAATGTATTTAACTCACAAAATTCATCTGCAGTTACACGCACCTTTTTCTACTGCTGTCACTTCAATCAACCAACCACTATCAAATCAAAGTAACTATCCATCATGCACCTTATCTCAGGATGGGCAATGTTGCTGATGAGCAGATCCAGAGGCGTACTTCATCTGAGCATTTTCTATCCACAGACATTGCTAAACGCCCAAATCCTTATTTTAGCTCATGGGAAACTGAACATAATAGTTTAATGTTTAGCACAGAGGAGGTGCAGGTATTGAGAAACAGAGCAGTAGTGACGAAACAGGAAGCAGCTGCAACCTGAAACTAGCGTGGTTGATACTACTCATGATGAAAAGATGAAATCTGTTTGTACTGTGTGCTGCTAGGTAGTTTTATGAAACGTGCTCACCGCTCCGCTAGGACCTTGAGATGTGGGACCCCCATACCCCAGCTTCTCACCATCCATGCTGTGTCAAAAGCGGCGAGAAACCCTCGAGCGATACCTGTACCCAGAGGCCAGAAAGGCTGCAGAGAACAAGAACCCATTGTAGTGTATAAAGATAATTTGCCACTAAGCGGTAAGTGAAACAGACACATACAGTAAATGATTATTACACTAAGAAGCATGTCACTAGTGAAAAGGAAACAGCTGCCTGGCTTTTGAAATCATCTATAGCAAAATAGGACTAAGAGTCTATGACTAGCAGCTCTTTGAGGCTGTGCTCAAACACAGCAGCACTTTCAGATGAATGAACATTATTCTTATTTTTCATCCTGACGGGAACGTGAAGGTGTGTACATAATGCCATGACAATTCATTAAATACCTCATGGTGTGAAAAAAGAAAAAAAGTCAGGTGATTACCAAAATCAACAGGATGCAATTCATAATGGAGATGTTGAGATATTTCACTGGACGTGCTAGTGGCATTACAAAATAAGTCAGGGGATTATTAGAAATCAATTCATTGTGTGCAATGAATATCCCAACCAAATTTCATGGCAGTTCATTTAGAAAACATCGAGATACTTCAGTCTTGACCAAAGCGGTAGACTGACAAACTAACCAGCGGTGCCATCCTTACAGCTGTGGTGCAGGTGTGGCTAACAGTGGGAACTAGCAGCAAAGTGTTGATCCCTACCTCTACCAGGCAATCTCCAACAAGACCTATCAGCAGTTTCTTGCCTCTCCTCTCCCTGACCAGAGAGGCATTCTCAGCACGGTGCATGCAGGTGAAGTCAAACATGGCCACGTCTGGCTGGCCGCTATGGTTTTGAACAAACTGGAGGTCAGGAAGTTTTCCGCCTGTAGAGAAGCAGGCAGCATCGTGGGCATAGCTGTACAAAGCTTGAGGATCCACATTTGCAAGAGCCAGCAGCTCCTCTGCATCATTGTAGTCCTGCAGAGACAGAGCGAGAAGTGCCATCTGATGAGTCACGGCACCTTTTCTGACACCGAGTGATGTGTCTCAGTTTAACTGTATTAACTAATGGGCCAGGCTGCAGAAGAAGAGGAGATGACTGACAGTGTAGCTCTTCACACAACTGTTTCCTCCATCTGGTTTGTTTGTGTTTCTTTACTGGCAGGAGGTGCATCCCGTGCCAATACAAATCACACTTTTACTTGGTAATAGATGTGTTGTCCTCACCTGTTTAATGACCCCCTTCTTCAGCAAGCTCTTCTTCTTGGCAGTCATGACAAAGTAGTGGGTGTCGTCTTTGTAGTAGACGATATTCTCTAAATCAATACCTGGACAGATCAGGGTGGGAGAATCAGGAAGACCGGCACAAAGTGCTAAGGAGGCTAAAAGAGGATTTTATGGGGCAAAACTGGGAATCAGTTTACAGAGAGGAAGACTTAGATAAAGCATATGAGCAATTTTTAAATATATTTAAGAAAGTATATGACAGGAACTGTCCTCGTAAGCAGTATAAAAACAAAAGGAATTACAGTGGGAAACCGTGGATGAGTAAGGGATTACAGAATGCATGTAAAAAGAAGAATGTGTTATATAAGGAATTCATAAAGGACAGATCAAAGAAGGCGGAAGAAAAATATAAGTCATATAAGAACAAATTAATTGAGATTTTGAGGAGATGTAAGAAACTATATTACTCTAAAGTATTAGAGGATAATAAAAATAACATGAGAGGTACTTGGAATATATTAAATAAATTGATTAGAAACAGTTCCAGCAAGAGTAACTACCCTCAATATTTTATGGATAATGATACACCGGTTAATAGATTGGAGGATGTAGTAGATAAGTTTAATAGGTTCTTTGTGAATGTTGGTCCTGGTTTAGCAAGAAGCATTTGTACAGATGATAAATCCGTCACTATAAATAATAATGCAAGCGAAAGGAACATGAGTTCTATGTTCTTGAAGCCGGTAGTTGAAAAGGAAATTATAGAGATAGTGAATAAATGTGGTAACAAAACATCTAGTGATAGTGATGGTATCACTATGACAACTGTTAAATGGGTAATTGAGGGGATATGCAAACCATTAACCCATATTTTTAACATGTCGTTTCGACTTGGGCAGTTCCCCAATAATATGAAAATAGCAAAGGTTATTCCACTGTATAAATCTGGTGATAAGCACAACTTCACAAATTATAGACCGGTTCCTCTGTTGTCACAGTTTTCCAAAATTCTGGAAAAACTCTTTAATAACAGACTAGACACATTTATTGATAAACATAA